GAAAAAAGAAAAAGATTTATATTAATTATCTAATAACAATGTGATCGATTACTCGCAGCAGCATGATGCAAGGAGGATTTTTTTTCGCGCGTGAGAGAGTTTCGGGCCTCGTGCATTGCATGTCTCGATTAAAGTAAAAGTGAATAAGTCTAACAGTCATGTTCGACAGAGGGAGGGCATAAACGGGGTGAAATATAGCAAATATGCTATGTGTATGTGCGCGCGCGCGTATTCAAAGTACACACGACGTATGCATAGACACACACACATATTCCGTAGCATGCCGCGGAGAAGGTAGCGCAAGAATAGGCTACGAGGGTCGATGAGATTGAAAACCAGTAAAACCGGTCCCTTCCTTTTGGCCCCACTCTTCCGTAAAGCGCGCCATTCTCCACGGAGAAGTCACAGGTAGGTCCATAGCAGCTGATGTATCGAGTATCGTGCCACGTCGACGCCTACCCGCAGACCACAGGTAAGAGAAACCTTTTCCAGTCAAAAATCCGTCGGTTCAACGGATATTTCGTTCGAGAGAGCTGAGTAATGCACAATAAAATGCAAGCAGCGGGATTATCTACGACAGCATTACACGATCGTCGAACCTTTATGCTCTTTTACATCGTCATTCCATCCATCGATTTACATAGATGATCTTCACGATACCATTCAATCCATTTATACATAGAAAAACAATTTCAGAAACGAGAATGTTTTTTTATGAAAAAGGGGAACAATGTGAAACAGAGAAATTTATTGATAACAGAAACGATGGAGATGGAATTAGCAACATGATAAGACAATTACGTAAAAGTAAAATGATTTTGTCAATTTGAAGATTTCTTGTGAAGGAGCATCCTCTCCGTACTCGCCTTGATGTCCCTTCTCGGTTTACACTGTCTTGCAACCGGTTCTTAAGTGCATACTGGGTTAATTAATTTGACCCACCGACTACGCTCACTTCCAATTTGTTTTCAGGGTATTAAGTAGGTATCCTTTTATGTCATACTGTCTTCGTTAGAATTCAGGATCGATCTATGGCTATTAATAGTTACGAATCCGGCGTGTATCCGCAGACTCGAATTCACACAGAATCGAGTGGGTGTAAAATGAATTGCTAAAAATCACAGTAAACGTTTCCAGTGACGGCAAACCGTTTTTATACCTTTTCGACCAAATGAAGTTTAACTGTTTACTAGTTAAACAGTGAAAGTATCGCCGAAGGCAATACTTGCCAGGGATCACAGACAAATGGTTAAAGCCCAAGAGATGAATTTTCTTAGTGAAAATATTTTTACGTGTGATAAGATTCAAGGTATTTGGATACGGGATTACTAAGTATTTTCACCGAAGTGGGGTAAAAGAGAACATCTTTCCATAGATTCTATGAACGTTTCGAACCTGTTCGATCCTGTTCTTGTTTGCTCTTACCTCGAAACGGTGTGAACGATTCCTGAAAGTATGCATAGTTGTATGGTGAATGTATTTCTCATGAGAAGCTCGTGAGTAAGCATAGACGTTACTCAGCAATTCCGTGTTAAAGTAATTCAATCGTCAGATATTGTACCACGTGTTATATGAAAAAGAAATATAATCGGTTGTTTACCTTTTAACATTAATTGTACTTTGTAATACGAATGATTTATATTTTAAAGTAAAAATAACGAAAAATTTTTGGAAAAAAATGTACACACGATCCTGCCAGGATTCGAACCTGGAATCTTCTGATCCGTAGTCAGACGCGTTATCCGTTGCGCCACAGGACCGACCTTGGTTTAATGTATCTTATGTTTCAATCATTGTTGGGCTATCAATGTACTTACATTTATGTTTATATAAATTTGCATAAATAAAGTAACAATTATAAAATATTAAACGTGAAAAATATAACTGTTATCGTATACTTGGTTGGTACTTGTAATGTAATGTAACTTGATGTAATAATATGCAATAATCTGTAACCTATTCTTGCACTTTCCCAATTAGTGAATAATTTCTTTCCAGGAACACCAATACGGATTTTGATTATCCTATAACAATTAAGCACGATATAGATATGATTATATCACCGAAGACTCAGCTGTAGATAACGATGTGATAAGACAAAGATTATTTATAGAAAGTTTTCTACAGAATGCAGCGTCGGAAAATTTTTTTATCGATAGAGCAAACGGAGATATGAAGGGTGGCATTTAAATATAACACTAAATCTAACGTTGCAAATGTTTGCGATAAGAATAACACAGTTTACAATGTAATTGAATACTCCAGTTGTTGAGAAGATCGTATTCTTCAATTCGTAGAACTTACACAAGCATTATTAATTATAAAGACGAGCTGGTTTCTCTGTTGGTGTGATTTGTCTACAGATCATTGATAGCTGGTAGCAATTCAGCACTTTTGATTACTTTTTTTGTACTTTTTTTTTTACAACTGTTTTAAATAAAATCCTCATATATTTTAAATGTTCGATCAAAATATAATCCTACTGAACGAATGAAAATGAGACTAGAAAGGTGACAATTAGTATATAAGTAATGAGTATGAATTTAACAATATAAGATGAAAAACAAGGTAAATAGTACGATTATCGGTAAAGAAGTAAACTACAATTACCCATTCTTAAGTGGTTATTTTATCTGAAAAGCGTATAGTTTTTGATAAGGCTCTATTTAACGTAAAAGAATTTAAATTTTTAAGAAAAGATTACCAAATCAACGAAAAAGGGGAGACCATACTTGTCATAAATGTAAATATTCGTGATTATGTACTAAAGAAATAACTCGTAGCTCATATTCTTAAATTTATGTAACATTGTGCACAAGAGCGGTGTGGATCGCTTTTTCGGCCACGCATGCGTACCAGGTGTTTCGAGACTTTACTGGAACCGATGTTAGCCGAGTTCATTCGAGATCGTACGAACAGAACAAGCCTAAGTTTCATGTGATCCAGAGCCGACGCGTCCGTTAACAGAGACGAAAAGTGGGGTTAGGTTGTAGTAGAGGACGAGAGAAAAGGAAAGAGGGAGAGAGTGAGAGGGGCGAGCGTGCTCGTATCTGTAAGTGGGGATAGAATCTCGGTGTGCAGCAGAAGCAAACGTATAGTTCTGTGTCTCCGACCAGGCTGTGTACGATCGGCGAGCAAGACAGAGAGAAGACGTGGAACGACGCGCGCAAGAAAGAAGAAACGAATCGGCGACGAAGAAGTTAAACACAGAGGAGAGCAAAAGGGAGCAGCTTGTGGAACGGCATGTCCCCGCGTGTTCGTGTCGTACAGCGTTTCTGAACGCAGCCATTACGATCACAGAACGATCGGGACGGAACGCACGTGTTTTCGGAAAATCGAACAAGATTTTGGCAAACAAAATTTGATCAGTGAGAGAACGGTAACGATCAGGAATACATCGATTATCGTGAGAAACAAATTTTTGAAGGCTATTTGTTTTTGTGCGTGTACAGAGAGGCCTAGGGACGCCTTTTGACGCGCGGCGTCACGTCGCGCGAGCATCAATAACTGAAAAAGTGTGCGGTTCAATTGATAAATAGTAAATAGTAAAAATTCGCGATTGTAAAAATCGCGTTCGATTTCTCTGTGCGGCACGGTTTGAAAAAAAAATAACCAACCATGTTTGACGTTTTCGGCTCCGTGAAGGGATTACTCAAGCTTGATAGCGTTTGCATTGACAACAACGTGTTTCGGCTACACTACAAAGCGACGGTGATTATATTAATCGCATTTTCGTTACTGGTTACGTCCAGGCAATATATCGGAGACCCTATAGACTGCATCGTGGACGAGATACCACTTCACGTGATGGATACGTACTGCTGGATCTATTCGACGTTTACGATTCCCGATCGAAACGGTATCGTTGGTAAAGATATGGTGCAACCAGGTGTCGCGTCCCACGTCGAAGGCGAGGATGAAATTAAATACCACAAATACTATCAGTGGGTGTGTTTCACACTCTTCTTCCAGGCGATATTGTTCTACGTGCCGCGTTACCTGTGGAAGACATGGGAAGGTGGTAGAATCAAAATGCTGGTCCTCGACCTTAATTGTCCGGTGATGGGTGAGGAATCTAAAAAGGAAAGGACAGAACTACTGGTTGATTATTTCACAAACAACTGGCACACGCAGAATTTTTACGCGTTCCGTTTCTTCTTCTGTGAGGTATTGAACTTTGTAAACGTGCTTGGCCAGATTTACTTCATGGACTTTTTCCTGGACGGGGAATTTACCACCTATGGCTCGGATGTGGTGAAATTCACGGAAATGGAACCGGAGGACAGGATGGACCCTATGTCACGGGTGTTCCCGAAGGTTACTAAATGCACCTTTCACAAATATGGTGCGTCCGGTACGGTGCAGAAATTTGATGGGCTCTGCGTGCTGCCGTTGAACATCGTCAACGAGAAGATCTATGTGTTCCTATGGTTCTGGTTCATCATTCTGTCAGTGTTGAGCGGCTTAACCCTGGCCTACCGTCTCGCGGTCGTGGCCGGACCGAAGATTCGTTTGGTGCTGTTGCGTGCCCGTTCGCGCCTCTCGGTGCCAGATGATATCCAGGCGATCTCGGAGATGTGCCAGATCGGCGATTGGTTCCTTCTTTATCAACTCGGCAAGAACATAGATCCGGTGGTATATAAGAATTTCGTCTCGGATCTCCTTACGAAACTTCAGGGCAAAGAAAACGTCTAGTGTTCCGTTCTTATTAGAATATATACCTCTTTTTCTTCTTTTCTTTTTCCGCTTTTTCGTTTATTCTTCGATTCTTCAATAACATTCAATTAGTCGAACCGAATCGTATGTACATCCATAGTTTATTCGAAGATCGAGGGGCCATTTTAAGTCACGTTTATTATATGTATGTATGTATTTAAAACGTGCGCGCGCATTCCAATGTTTTTGGAAAATTTTTCGTAGTTTATAGATGCCTACGTAACGCGAGTTACCTTTCCATCGTTGGATTAGAAATCGATCGAAGGCAAGCTTCGTGCGAAAAGACACATCGAGTGAAATGAATGAGAAAAATTAAGTTCTTTTTTTTTTTAAGTTAAATATTCATTCCTTTTTACTATACTGTTGTGTTACACAAGTATACATGTTTCCACCGATAGTTAGCGATCGCGGTTCATTCTGGTAATTTGATTCTCCTTTTTCCCTCGTCTTGCGATTTTTCAGAACTCTCTCACTTCAAATTTAATCGTACATTATTCTTTTTTTCGTTTTCACATTTTCTACATATTTTCCTTTAACCCTTATGTCAATAACCGGGTACCCTTTTGCATAATTCTCACTTAAAATATTTTATCTTCCAGGTAAAAGATTTAAATATCCGGCCAGATCGTCGTTATTTGGCACATTTCCTATTCGCGTTTGCCTCAAGTTTGGAACTTCTTTTTATCAGAAAACTACTAAAATTGAACGATAAAGTAGACCACAATTCTGGTTATTGACATAAGGGTTAAATTGTGTATCGAATTAAAAACGATGTTCACAACGAACAAAATAATGCCAAAATATGCCCTACGATTTATTTCGAGATATCGCAAGGTTAGGTAAGAAGACACATAATTTTTGTTTTTATTTTTCTAACGCCGTTATTTTTAACCGTAAAATAATATTTCCCTATTGCTTGGTCGAATCTCTTCATAAATCTACAAGCATCGCCAGCAACGACAAGAATATATATATGTACATGTACTATGCAGAGATGAGAGATTAGTTGGTTAGTGGAAGGAATGCGGGTCTGATTGGTTATAGGGTAATAGCCATATATAGGGTAATACCATCTTTTACGCAATTATAAAGACAAGACATATTTTTGTTATTGGCCGAAACGGTTACATCTCCAAAACGGCTTATTAGCGTCGCGTGACGAAAAGAGCGAACCGGATATATCCACAAACCATTGGGGTAGAGTGATAGAGTGCGATCTTCTTCAAAGCATTAGCGTACCTGCGGTTTCGTGTATCCGTGGTAGGTTCTAGAACATATCTGCGTCCACAGATCCTACTAACTATGTGAACGTGCCCCGCTAAAAACATAAAGATGGAAATTTCGGGAAGGTTACAGACGGGATCAGGGGGAGCAAGTGTAGTATACCCCTCTTTGTTCCTGTACCGTCCCGCTAGCCATCTTATCTCTGCACAGTTCATGCATAAGCGAGACAGAGAAAGAGAGAGAAAGAGAAAGCTTAGTATTAAATTCTTCCGAGACACGGTGGTCTTTGTAAGAGAGAGAGACTCTGATTGTGTGATATAAATTGGGGGACGATGTTTTCATTTCCTTCGCCATTCTCCTTCCCTCCACTTTTTCTCCCATTTCACCATTTTTTTTTTAAATTTTTGC